CTCATGAGCAATTGGTAATACCCATCGACCAAGTCGAGTGCACTGTACTTCGTACATCTCATTATGTTGTTTTGATGAACATTTTTCTAGGAATCGGCGTCTATGCCGGAATGGTGGCAGCGTTGAGCTTATTGTAAGCATGAACGATACACCACTTGCCGTTTGGCTTCCGAACACAAAACGTGGGTGTCGAATGGGGAGACTTGCTCTCACGTACCATCTTTTCGTCCTGTTTCGCACCGAAAAAGGCTTCAATGACGTCACACTGCTCCTTGTGCGGGGACCATTGACGAGTCACGCAGCATTTGGTTGCCGGAACCAGGTCGATCTCATGACGCACACCTCGGTCCGGAGGTTGGACCGAAGGCGGGTCTGTGGAGACGGCGTCTTGAAATCCCTTTACCAAAGGAAAGTACGGATCCAAGGGATTTCGTAGGATCGACGATCCACTCCGTGCGTTCAGCACTCTCTTGGTGTCCTCCAAGACAGCTTCATCCAGAAGTGATGATGAGTTTATCTCCTCGTCCGGTCGTACAATGACCACTTCGGCAAAAGCGCCGGCCTTCAAGGAACTGTTGAACTCTTCAAGGGACATTTCGTCCAGCTCAAGAAGTGCATCTAATGCAGGCATAGCCTCGAGGCGGACGTCGCCATCTTCCTCCCTCGTCGTACCACTGACGAGGGTGTATATCTGTGCACCATCGTCTATGGTAGACACACCCTGGATCAGGGTCGACGCTCGGCGCTTTGCAGCCAGCATACGGCGTCGCCGTCGCCTCTGTACAGAAGTTTTATGTCTCGGTGAGACCAGGGTGAACACGCATTCCGCGTCGTCCAGTGTCACCCTCACTGTCCGCTCCTTTGGAGCTCCGATGTTATCTACAACATCCGACGAAGAGCTGCTAACCCCGCAGTCTTGTTCCAGCGGATAACGTGCCACCTCACGCGCATCTGAAGGGCCGTGCCCCAGATGCATCGGACTCTGTCCGACCACGCCATCAATGGCATGCAGCGACTGCTTCACATCGAGAGCAGTGCTCAGTGTTTTACGTGCCACCGCACGTACATCACGGGGGCCTTGCCCTCGATGCTTCGGACCTTGGCCGACCATGTCACGCATGACATGCAGCGACTGCTTCGATACTCGAGCAGCGCTCAATGGTTTGCGTGCCAGTTCACGTAGGCCTCGCCCTCAATGCCTCGGCCCTTGGTCGACCATGCTACGCATGACATGCAGCGACTGCTCCGAAACTTGAGCAGCGCTCAGTGGGTTACGTGCCACTCTATGATCAGCCCGCGAGCCACGCTCGAAATTCCTGTCCAATGCACCGTTGGTGTCTACGAACTCGAACATTTCAATGCCCAGAACGCTGACCGTATCGGTCCAGTGCCCCCGCCAATAGCGCTTTTGTCTCCTAGCAGAGGTGGGTTCACGACTCGCCAAAGCTCCAC